TACAGACCGGCAGCTCACTGGCTGAGTGAGGTGCGGGGGCAACACCAAGGGTTGCGATCCCGTTGCCGGTCCCGGTCCGGTATGGGCGCGACACTGAGGGTTGCGATCCGTTGCCGGTAACGAAAAAAGGAAAAAAAAAAAATTGTGAAATTATGGAGGAGTTGTATAGGAGAAAAGTGAAATAAAGTCAGATGGGAAAGCAGAATAAATAAATATTCTGTCACTATCAGATTTGGCTTTTTTGGAATTTGATATAATTCTATATTGTAGAATGCATTTGTGTCTGGCTTTGATCTTGATAAAGTTTTGAGATTCATGCATGCTTTTGCACGTGTTAGTATATATTGCTTTGTATTGCTGAGTCCTATTCCCCTGTATGCATATGATGATTTATGTCAGCAGGCATTTGGGTTGTTTCTAGTTCTTGGCCATCATGAATAAAACTGATATAAACATTCCAACACAAATCTCTGTATAGACGTATGTTTCCATTTCATTTGTGTCTTTTTTTTTTTTTTCCTTTTTGTCTTTTTTCGTGACCAGTAACGGGATTGCAACGCTCGGTGTCGCGCCCGTACCGCGACGACTGGCAACGGGATCGCAACCCTCGGTGCCACGCCTGCACCGCGCTCAACCAGTGAGCAGACTGGTCTCTCTATATGGGATCCAAACCCTCGGCGGGAGCGCCGCCACACTCCTAAGTGCCACACTCTACCGAGTGTGCCACCGGGCCGGCCCTCATTTGTGTCTTTGTCAGGCTGCTGTAACAAAGTACCATAGACTCGGTGCTGGGAAGTCCAAGATCAAGGTGCCAGCAGCTTGAGCGTCTGGCGAGGGCCTGCTTCCTGGTTCTTAGATGGCATCTTCTTGCTCTGTCCTACGTGGTGGAAGGGGTGAGGGAGCTCTGTGGGGTGTCTTTTACAAGGGTGGTAATCCCATTCATGAGGGCCCTACCCCCTCATATCCTCTCAAAGGCCCTACCTTCAAATAACATCATGTTGGGGATTAGGTTTCAACATATAAATTTGGAGGGGATATAAACATTCAAATCTATTGCTTTTTGGGCAAATGAATTATTGGGCTTAATAATAAATGTATATTGAACTATACAAGAAACTGTTTTACAAAGTGATTATACTATTTTACATTACCACTAGCAATGTATGAGAGTTCTCCAAATCCTCATCAACACTTGGTATTATCTATCTTTTCAATTTAGCCATTCCAGTGAGTGTGGAGTGGTCTCCCACTGTGGTTTAATTGTGGCAGTCCACCGATGACTAATAATGTTGAGCATCATTTCACGTGCTTAGTATGGCTATTCATACATTTCTTTTGTGAGGAATCTGTTAAAATCTTTTGTCCACTAATTTTTATTGTGTTGTCTTTTTTTTTTCCCCAACAGCTGGCCAGTATGGGGATCAGAACTCTTGACCTTCTGATGCACTCTAACCATCTGATGTCATCTTATTTTTGAATTATAGTCTTTTTTTTTTTTTTTTTTTTCTTTAAGGCTGGTTAAGTGAAGTAGTGGGAATGGAGAAGAAACAAAGAAATCTATAACTAGTTGTTATCAAATTGTTGTAAACACCACTGCACTCAAACAGTTGATTCGTAGGCATTCTTTATACATTCTGTATGCCAGTACTTTTTCAGATATATGTAATGCAAATATTTTCTTCTTTGTCTTTTTCCTTTTCTTAATGATGTCTTTTTAGGGGCAGAAATTTTTATTTTGATAAAGTCTAATTTATCAATTTTATTTTTTATTATTCATGCTTTTTGCATCCTAAGATATCTTTGCCTATTCCAGTGTGTTGCAAAGATTTTCTTCTAAATGATTGATACTTTTAGCTTTTACATTTATGTTGGTGATTGATTTCAAGTTAATTTTTGTGTATAATGTAAGAGATTGAGGTTTTGGGGGGCTTTTTTTGTTTTTTGTTTTTAATGGATATCCAGTTGTACCAGTACTATTTGTTGAAAAGACCATCTTTTCCCCATTCAATTACTTTGGCATCTAAGTCAAAGAAATCAATCAGCCATTGTTATATAATAAAGAATTTGACTGGCCTTTGGCAGTAAACAATTAAGTGTTAAGTGGAGGTGGTGGCTGGGGCAGTGTGTTCTCTGGAGAGAGAGAAATCTCTGTGTCAGGGTGTCAGGAGAGGTCTCAGGGAGAAGGTGACCCTGAGCTGACTTCCCAAGAACAGGCTCAGCAGAAGGGGTTCAAAGCTAGAGCCATTCAGAGGCAGCAGCATTGAAGGATACTACTAAATCTCCTTGTGTGTCCGATCACTGTGGAATCTTCAGGAAGGCAGGCAGCAGCATTCCCAGGAGGCACTGATGGAGCACCTGGTGCCTGCCTTCCTGGGCAGTGACCACTCATATATCCAAACCTTCCTTTTTAAGTACCAAGCCTTTACCAACCCCCAGCAGTTGCTGGACTGACTCTTCGAAAGATATGGATGCATCGTTCCTGATTCTAATGAGGACAGCAGGCCCTGGGACTATCAGAAATATGCCATGTGTTCCATCCTGAGCACCTAGCTGGATTTGTACTGTAGTGATTTCTATCACCCCCTGAATGTTCTTGCCTGAAGGTGCTGCTGGACTATCTTCACCTAAACCTGCCAGGCTCAGAAGTGGAGCGCCATGCTAACCTTCTCCTGGCTCAGCAGGAGCACTCGAGGCCCATTGAGGCAGAGTCAAAGGCTCCATCACCAGCTGCAGCCCCCCAATGTATGAGAGTTCTCCAAATCCTCATCAACACTTGGTATTATCTA